ATATAATATATATATATATATATATATATATATATATATATATATATATATACATAATGCTTAAGTTATAAAATTATGAATGTAGTAATAATGTAATATATAATTTTAAATATATTAATAATATTAATATTATCGATAGCTTTAGTCTAGCATCGATATCTGCAACTGCGGTAATTATATCCCCGATCCCCGCTGTGCTGTAACAGTCGCCTCTGAAACTGCTGATTTATCTTTCGTATATCCTCGACGGCGTTAGCTATCTGCACATTAGGCTCCTAATCTCCAATCGCTCCGAAAGGCCGTGCGGCGAATTTTAGCGAGCGGTAAAGCATTCCTGATCAATAGAGGAGGCGAACGGTCGTTGTGCAGCTTAATCTCGCTGCGACTGGCTTTGTGATTGATTCGAGCATATTTCCAGCTTCACGCGCAGAGCATGATCGATCTCTCTCGAAATCCCATCAATAGTACAGCCGCAATTTGCTCTCGTTAGCTTTTTGCACGAGGGACTTATTAAACTTTCAAAGTAACGATAAGCCGCGCAATTAGAATAAGTTATTCCACAACTGAATTATGTGTATACATTGGCGACTATGTTTCGATGGCTGATTGCGCTTCAGGATCGAATTGAACTTTTCAATTTGTAATATTGCTAATATATTTATTTACTTTTACAGCACAAAGCAATGTGCAATCAGTCAGCCGAAACAAATCCCCTCGCTTATAAACATCGCTTTTTCTTTCCGAATATCCGACTATGTCCGGAAGGGCGGTTTCGAATCGTGCAATATGTCGCATAATTCGGCCATTCCTCATACCATCTTTGCGAGTTTGAAGGGAAAAGACTTTAGCATGTGTAGGCACGCGTGTATCGCTCTTGTAGTTTCATAAATACGCGGAATAGTCCCCTTCCTATGTTCTCAAGCAAAGTCAAGGAACGTAAAATCGATTCAGAAGATATCAGGATCTTATTGTTTGACGAGAGAGGGTAGACGCTTTTCTGGAATTGATGGATTCTTTCGTAAAGATGCCATGCGCCATGTATCACTTAAACGAAAAAGAAAAAAAATCGACTAGGAAATATCCATTTTCCACCATAAACAATTACTAGTAGTATTACATGCTTGACACATGTCTGCTCTGCACAGATTTCCTTTTTATTCTAAAAGAGAAGAACAGTGAAATTTTTCACTGTGAAATTGCAGACAATCGTAAAGAGTTGCAAACTCCTTTCAGAAAATTAAGCATTCTCGAGCGTTGTCGTTGTGCAGCATTCTTCAGAAGCAGTTGAAGGCTCGACCTGTTTTCTCGCTCGCCAATTTCGCGCCTCACAAAGGAAACTTTTGTATTCACGAGTATGATAATGTCCCTTCATGAGCCTTCGCACTTGCAATCGGTTGCGCGTGTTTGCGTCACGAGCTTGTAAGCGGGGGATGTACGTGAGTACCTGAGGGATACGGCAAACCCGATGCTTCGAAAACGCCACGCTGGCAGGCAAAATCGGTTTCGGTGTTACGCGAATATCCAAGAATAATTTTACATATTTCAGCGTAGCTTACTGCCGCTTTGTCGCCGGTATGCGACAAAGAAGCTTACCTGTTGTCTAGGCCCGATGAAGAATATCGCGTATGCAAAATGCTTTTGTCGAACGTTACTCCGATAAGATTTATACGGTCGTGTGTTTGACTTGATATCAACCGGCTTATCCGTTATCTGTCCGCCTCGCGTCTTGACAATGTGGTAAGCGGCATCCATGACGCGTTCACGCTTAGGCCGCATCTGTTCTTGTCAAGCTTGTCAGTTTGACAAATCGATTATGTATACTTTATTTGAGGTGTTTTGTGTATACGTATATAATAGCGATAAAATATACATAGTTTCAGTGGAGTATATTTTATTTTTAAACCTTTGCAAACTTTGCTATAATCACTAATGCCG